AGGGAACTTCCATAGGCAAATGTCCAAAAAACAAGTTATTTAAAGTATACATAGAGTTGGAACTACAACTTCGAGAGTTTGACAGATGCCGAAAGCTTTATGAGAAGTTCTTGGAATTTGGACCTGAAAATTGCACCTCCTGGATTAAATTTGCAGAATTAGAGACAATCCTTGGTGACATTGAGAGAGCCCGGGCAATCTATGAATTAGCTATCAGCCAGCCTCGTTTAGACATGCCAGAGGTGAGCATCTGGGGTATCACGTGCTTTAGACACTCTCTAGTCTTACTTTAGGTGGCTATCTAAACTTAGTGTGTGTTTGGGAGTATAAAGATGATCTACCCAACTCATAGTCTCTTCTCAGATTGGGTTTTTTTTTTGTTAGGAGAGAAGGGCTGGCAAGGGAGATGGGAGCTGGCTCTCTCCTCAGGGAGCAGGGCACATCCAGAACAGACTAGGATGAATGGGGATCGGGCAGGTAATGGGCTCTCCTCCTCCCATCTCAGGCAGAGAGGGCTAAAGGAGACTAGAGGGGAAGTCCAGGCAGGCAGCAGCCCGCAGGTCAGCCCGTCCAAGCACAGGAGGGTAGAAGTGAGACTCCACCCCCCCCCCCAAAAGAGACATTCTATTGGTTTTCCATTTTCTGGGACTTGACAACTTGGAAACTGCTTGGTAGGCAGTTAACAATAAACCACTACCCTCTACAGACACAGCCAACTCCATTCACTTCCTGAACGAGCACTTAGGCTGAGGCCTGAAGACTCAGAAATTAACCAAAATGTAAAGCCACTAAGGGAAAATTGAGACTGATTTCTGGCTAAATGTTCTTAAATATATTATTTTAGTTATTCACAGTTAAAAGTAAGCATTTCTGTATTAAAACAATATTGTTTTTCGACTGGATACCATAGCTTCTACCAAACAGATAATGAAGAAACAGAGGTATATGTTTCACATTTTTTATTTTTAAATCTTTTACTTAATATAGTTTAAGTAGCTGGGCGCGGTGGCTCAGTCTGTAATCCCGCGCTTTGGGAGGCTGAGGTGAGTGGATTGCCTGAGCCTGCAGGTCCGAAACCCGCCTGGGCAACTTGGCGAGACCTCATCTCTACAATAAAAAAAAATTAGCCGGGCGTGGTAGTTCTGCCTGTAGTTCCAGCTACTTGGAAGGCTGAGGCGGAAGGATCGCCAGAGCCCAGCAGGTTCAGGCTGCGGTGGCCGGGAGCGTGCCACTGCACTCCCCCTGGCAACAGAGTGAGACTCCAACTCAAAAAAAAAAAAAACAAAAAAAAAATATATAGTTTAAGTAAGCATATTGTTTTTATCAAGATCTCTACTTGCTTAATATCCTATATTAAGAATGTTCCTTATTACATTTATTATGTTATCCCAACTGTGAAAGATGAACATACGTCAGAATTCTAAGGTGGTATATGCTCTACTTCTAAAGTTTGTTTCTCATTGTAATACAAACCATTTTGAAAGTTTGCTTTTGTGGCTTATGAAAATGAAAAAAGTTCATTAGCCTAATTTTTTTTTACCCTCTTTCTTTTTTTTTTTTTTTTTTCCTTTTTTAACAGATGGGGCCTCCTAAGTTGTCTAGGCTGAGTTTGAACTCCTGGGCTCAAGTGATTCTTCTGCCTTAGTTTCCTGAGTAGTTAAGACTACAGGTGTGCACCACTACACATGGTTAACCTTTAATTTTTTTGTAGAGATTAGGACTTACTATGTTGTCTAGGCTGGCCTTGAACTCCTGGTTTCAAGCAATCTTCCTGCCTTGGCCTGCTGAGTAGCTGGGACTACAGGGGCATGCCACTACACGCAGCTCTTTTTAAAAAATTTGTTTGGCCGGGCTCGGTGGTTCAGCCTGCAATCCCAGCACTTTGGGAGGTCGAGGCAAGTCTATTGTCTGAGTCCGCGGGTTAGAGACCAGCATGGGCAACTTGGTGCGACCTCATCTCTACAGTAAGTCAAAGAAAAAAAAAATTAGCTGGGTGTGACAGCTCGCGCCTGTAGTTCCTGCTACTTGGAAGGCTGAGGCGGAAGGATTCATGGAGCCCAGAAGGTCGATGCTGGGGTGGCCATGAATGTGCCACTGCACTCCAGCCTGGGCAATGGAGTGGGACTCCAACTCAAAAAAAAATTTTATTTTCAGAAAGGGTATTAGGAAGGGTTATATTGTTCCTAGGTTCTCCCCTGAGAATACCCAGTGTGCCCCTAACAGAGCTGCTGGGAGCATTTTTGGGACTGGAGGCCCGATGAACTGTGGAAGCTGCCGATTTCCAGGAGCTGACAACCCGTGAACATGAACTCTGGGCACCAACCCATGGGACAGGGGCATCTCTGGCCCAGTTGTACTGTGCCTAAAGGGAGCAGGCTAGTCCACGCCAGTGACACATCATGCACTCTCTGGTCACTTCCTGAATGAACACTGGCAAGCCCCCGCCTTCTGAGCTACATTTATCACCCTGGGTCTGGAGAAGACGTTATTCTCTTCCCCAGAACGAACTCTCTGACTCCTCTAAGAGAACAACAATATATCTCTATCTAACTAAGAACTTGCCAGTGCTGGCTCTTGGGGGGTGCCTTTGAGTCAAGTGTTCAGTTAGCTAGGGCTGTGGTCATGTTGGCTCAGCAACGGGGAGGCTGTGTGTAACTTTGAACATGCTTGCTTAACTTCTGTGAACCCTGGTCGTCTCATGTGAGAAATGATACCACCTCCAATCTTGTTAGGCTGAGGCAAGAATTTACATGAAAAGGTCTGTTGTAGCACATGGCACAGGGAAGGCACTCAACACATGGTGGCTACTGGTCCAACAGAGTTTATCTTAACCTCCTGATAAGTTTATCTTAACTTGATATTTACTGGATTTTAAGATGTCATCCACTATAAGATGTACCATTTGTTAACACCACTAAGAAAAAGATATTGCCAAGTAAACCAACACAGCATCCCTGTTTTAGAGATATTAAAATGTAAAAAACAAAGGTGCATCAGAATTGAGAAACAGGATACACTCTGAGAAGTACTTTGTTATCTCTAGCAGAAAGTAGTAACATCCCATCTCCTTGGACAAGCCAGGCAAGAAAAGGAGAGCCTCGTTCATGACTTCTCCCAGAGAGGAAGGCTGCTCCTGTGATGCTCTAGTGGCTCCAGCACTCTGTGGGGGCTGGTGGGAACCAGGAGAGTCACAGACACTAGGGGTTCCTTCCAGCTGCACACCCCTCGGGCAGTGAGTGAAGAGGTTCCCCTGACTAAGGAGAGGCTTATGGTTGTTTGTGCCTGAGTCAAGCACTCCCCTTGGTCTGAGGATGGATCGACTTAGCACACATTGCTTTCAAAAGTGCAGTTCTGACCCTAGCTGGGAAATAATGAAACTTTCCATAAAGCTACATTTATAATCTTGGATAGTGAGCCTGCAGAAGGTCCTCACTTACCCCAGGCATCCTGGTTTAATTAATTTTTAAAACCAAAAGCAATCTCAGTTTTCTATTCCAAAGAAACATTCTGTTTGATTGGAGGAAGAAGTACACACAAAATTAGAATCTGACTGAGTTCCTAAAATCCATCATACTGAGAGAAAAATGGAGAAGAAAATGTTTGGGTAAAGTTTTTCCCTGACTCTCAGAAGGGTTCAAAACCAGACCAACTGACTCCTGGATCACACTGCAGTCCCGCTCTGCACCATCCCCATTTTCAGTCCTGACTCCACTCTATGACTCAAATGTTATCGAAAAGGGAACAAACCCTGTGAGCAGAGTGTACTGCACAGGGTCAGACGCCCACCTTTACGCCCTCGTTGTAACTGTCCCCAGGGCTGCTGAGACTGGCAAGGCTACCCAGATGACCGGGGGCTCCAGGGCGAGGCGGTTTCTTTGGTGGAGCTGCAGGATCTGGGAAAATGGAAGGATTCCCATTAAGTATTGTATGTTAATAAGAGAAAGTAAATCACTACCAAATAAACAAATGCCTACCGGCATTCTTACAACAGACATCTTGCATTCTAAGGAGGCATTTCTTTTTTCTTTTTTTGATTTATTATAGAGACGAGGTCTCGCCAAGTTGCCCAGCCTGGTCTCGAACCCCTGGGCTCAGGCAATCCTCTCACCTCAGCCTCCCAAAGTGCTGGGATTAAGGCTTGAGTCACCACACCCAGCAGGAGGCATTTCTGATGCATTATAACAATACATTATGTTTTTCTTTTCTTTTTTTTTGAGTTGGAGTCTCACTGTCGCCCAGGCTGGAGTGCAGTGGCATGCTCACGGGGCTCAGGTGATCCTTCCACCTCAGCCTTCCGAGTAGCTAGAACTACAGGTGTGTGCTACCACATTCGGCTTATTTTTTGATGTATTGTAGAGATGAGGTCTCACCAAGTTGGCCAGGTTGGTCTCAAAGCCCTGAGTTCAGGCAATCCTCTTGCCTTGGCCTCCCAAAGTGCTGGAATTATAGGCTTGAGCCACTGCACCTGGCTATATTCTTTTTTCTAACAATTTAGTCATGATCTGGATATACAGTAAATGACATCTTTGCTGTGGTCTGTTGAGGGAAAACTATTAAATAATCATGAGGGTATTCTAAAGTTATGACATGACAACTCTAAAAGCCTGCTCCCACCAAATTATACAATCTTCTTGACACAAAATTCATTTCTTCATTTACCTGGTTTACCCACAGGCTGATAGATGTGTTGGTTTCCCGTCTGTGGGAAAAGAAAAGGTCAATCAATGTACCAATGTGCACAACAGGGTAATGACCTCCCTCTCTCACCCTGTCCACCTGTCCCTTTGAACTTCTGGACTAGATACTGGTGTTCTGCCTTAAGGTCTTAGATGAGGTGGCGGATCAGGCAAGTAAGCCGATGAGGACAACAGGATGTATGGAAAGGACTGTGAAAGAAGCAAGCATGGATACTCTGGGACCACAAATGGGAGGTCACACCCAATTTAAAATGTTCTCACATGGACTGCTCTAGTTTACCTCCAGATCCCATGCCTTCTCAGCAGCTCATCCCAGGGCTCAGGACACTCCCACCTAGCCTCCCAACCACATTTATCACAATAAGAAGGTAACCAGAACAATGATAACGAGAGGGGCTTGGTTGCAATGGGTGTGCAGATATCCCATGGGCCTACAAGCATCACCCCTGAAGCATTCCGTGTGTCAGGACTTGGTGTTACACCTTCATTAGTTCCAGGTCAAGCCAGAGAAGCCAGACCACAGCCTGGAATTTATGCCCTAGGGCAGGATAAAAAGATAGTCCCATATAAGACCAGTTCTTTTTCAGATTGTCATGCCTGAAATTATATTCATTATTATATTTTCTACATATACAGACAAGATCTATGTTGCCTAAGCTAATCTTGAACTCCTGGGCTTAAACAATCCTCCTACCTTGGCCTTCCACAGTGCTGGGATTATAGGCATGAGCCCAGCCTGAAACTGCATTTAAAATAATCTTTCTAAGGCTAACTACATGGAAAAAAATTCTTTTAGAACTATGTTCCATTTCTGAAAAGATAGACTTTTCATGCTTATTTTCAAATAATGAATTGGTTAATATATACAATTTAAGGGGCTTTACTTTCTTGTGAAAAGAGATCAATTTCTTTAAAATACAAGGGCTATGAAACAGCACACAATTAAAATTGCTCCTTCCTCCAGATCAAGTTGCTTTTGACATGCCATTTAACACTCTTGATTTAAAAGGCTTGCAAAACCCTCAGAGTTTGAAGGTGTGAAGAATGATTCCTTAACAACTTACTTTTGTGCAGTACTTTCTACTTTTCATATCATTCATTTATTTGACAGTTACTAAACACCTGCTTTGTTTCAAGCACTATTCTAGGTATACAAAGATCCTGCCCCTGTGGAGCTAACAATGTGGTGGAGGGAGGACAGGCAATAACAAAAAACATATATTGCAGCACATTCTGTGCTCTTAGAAGAAGCTGTGTCCAGAGGAGAAAGGAGACAGCTGGAGATGGAAGGGAAAGAAGCTGCAGTTTTAAGTAAGAAGTCAAGCCCTTTGAGAAGGTGGTCTTTGAGCACAGACCTGAGGTAAGGAAAGTCTTGCAGCAATCTGGGAAAAAAGCAGCCTGGAGAGGGAACAACCCCAAGCAGGGGCAAACCAAGTGTTTGAGGAAGAGCGCAGTGGCCAGTGTAGCTAGAGAGGAGTGAGGGAGGCAGAATGGTGGAAACAATAGACACAGTCTGTTGGCTTTGCAGTACTCACTGATTTAGGCAGCAAAATCCAGATGCATTTTAAAAGGTTTAAAATATAAAAACAACTTTCTGGTTGATACTCAAGTAACAAGGAAGTTTATTTAACTATAAAATCCTATTCTCAGAACATTCTGGAATAATCTGGCAAGTGTGTGTGAATGTTCAAAGAGATGTGCTAGGCAGTTACATTGTTTTGTTCTTGAATGGCATGCAGAGAAAAGGAAAGTCCTGGTCTCAGAAGTCTGACGGAATGAGTGTTTGAAGCCAGGTCTTGCTCATGGTTCTGTGAACATCCAGCTGTGGACTTTGGAAAAGTCATGAAACTGTTTGGGGTCTTGGTTTTTCCATTTGTAAACTGAGGCTAATAACACTTACCTAATAATGGATGGCTGTCACAAAATGAGCATGCTGTCAACTTATATGTTATTTTAAAGTTCAAATAGGTTTTTTTCCTGAGTTGAAGTCTCACTCTGTCACCCAGACTGGAGTGCAGTGGCACGCTCCTGGCCACCGCAGCCTCGATCTGCTGGGCTCCAGTGATCTTTCAGCCTCAGCCTTCCAAGTAGTCAGAACTATAGGCGTGCGCTACCACGCCTGGCTAATTTTTGATTTATTGTAGAGATGAGGTCTCACCAAGTTGCCCAGGCGGGTCTTGAACCTGCAGGCTCAGGCAATCCACTCGCCTCGGCCTCCCAAAGTGCTGGGATTACAGACTGAGCCACCGAGCCCGGCTAAGGTTTTTACTTTTAATGCTCACTGATGGGATCGATTTTATGTTTATCCAGTTATGTTTATTAGCTAGTTGACATTCATTTATAATCTACATTGCTTTCTATCCAAAAGGGTCTCCCTGTAACTGTGGCACACTTTCAAAAGTATAAAGCTAGAGTGTTTCAAAAAAGAAGCCAAATCCAAACTGTTATCTTTAGGAAAGCTAAAAGAGCAAAAACCAGAGACGATCACGGTGCATTAACAGTCCCCAGGATAGGAAGTGAGGAAGGCCTATTGAGCCAGGTTGTCCACCTGTGTGTAAATGCACTGCTTGACCTCTGGCTCTGAGATAGGGGAATTTGGGGCAAGTTTTCTTTCAGCCTCGGTTAGTAATTTGTGAAATATGGATGATGACACTGCCTAATTTGTCAGGAGTAATGTAAGTACTCAGCACAGTGCCACATGTAGAGCACTTAGTACAGCACCTTGTGGCACTAAGGTTTTCAGTCAGTACTAACTACTCTTACTATTGCATAGGCCTGGCACATAGCAAACTGAGATGGCAGGCAGGCCCAACACAGGTCATTTGATTGTCTTATAATTCTTCATTTTTTTCTTGCCAAACAGTATTTCCTTAACAAGTTTTATTAATGAAGAAGCATTTTCTGAATACACCTACCCAGGTTTGATTAATTAACTTCACAAATTTTCTAGTAAAGTACCTTTGACGTGCCACATACCAGAACAAAAAGAATTTTCCTTTATTAACAAATTTCCTATCAGCAATGTTCTGAATAGCTAGTCTCTTGAACAGGGTTTATTTTCACACGGACTCTTACTCCTTCTTAACAATTCAGGACTGACTGCTTTTTACTCATTAGCTTTTCAACCTAAAGAGGAACTCAGGGTATGGAGATGCTAAATGACCTTGTGGCTCATGAACTAAAGAATGCTTGACATGTACTGTATGTGGAGTCCATGGAGCCAGCTCTGACGGGAAATGCCCAACTTTCACAAGCTGCCAACTGGCAAATCTTCTAGGTGCCAGATCTCAGGACAGATGGAATTTTTAGGGCACAGATCAGGAAAAATTCCAGGTACAGTCATTCTATAATGGTGTACCTTGAAGCTGGATGATGACACAGTCTTAGGAGAACAAGAAATTATGATTAAGGTAGGTGCTGCATCCCATTCAAAGAGGCTTATTATGGAAAGATCTAAAAACATTTACTGCACTTTTATTTCAAAATTGGTTGCTATTTCATATAGAAAAATATTCAAAAGATTTTAAGGTAAGTGTTGACAGTTGTAGGCATGCATGTATGACTAGAAGTTAGCTCAGAGTTTCACCCTTATTAGGGTAGAACTTTAAATCCATAAGTCTGCTACTTGACAGGCAGAGTAAGTGTTTAAAGAAATTCGCACTTATTTTAAACAGACATCTGCTGATGGAAATCCCAACAAAACAATTTAAACTACTTTTCTTCAAATATCAGGGAATATTTCTTGCAGGCTTTAAATCTATTTGGAATAATCATAAGCTAGTGCTTTAAAGAGAATTTCAGGCATTTCTCTCTGCAACACCTGAAAGAAAAAAATCTTGCTTGAACAAGTTTTATGTGACTATAGAATCTTTTTTTTTTGAGTTGGAGTCTCACTCTGTTGCCCAGACTGGAGTGCAGTGGCCGCTCCTGGCCACCGCAGCCTCGACCTGCTGGGCTCCGGCGATCCTTCCGCCTCAGCCTTCTGAGTAGCCGGAATTACAGGCGCGCGCTACCATGCCCGGCTAATTTTTTGATTTTATTGTAGAGATGAGGTCTCGCCTGCCCAGGTGGGTCTCGAACCCACAGGCTCAGGCAATCCACTCACCTTGGCCTCCCAAAGGTGCGGGATTACAGGCTGAGCCACCGAGCCCAGCTTTATAGAACCTTTTATAACCTTGCAATAAGAGTACAAAGATTTAGCAAATGATATTTGTGCAATGACAGTGTACCTGTTTCTTTAGGTTGCAATGAGTTTCCCTCACTACTAAAAATCCTGTGTCAGTGATGGGGCAGAAAACATCTGAATCTGAATAGAAATTCTGGGCTATATAACATATATTTTCACAACCTGAGTTAGATTGTACATTTTATTTTTAGAATATTCTGTTCCATATTACAAATAACAGTAAGCTTGGCTATCTCAGGACACAGACATGCTGATCCATCCACACAAGAATCTGAAATCCAATCCCAGTGAACACTCAGGCAGCTGCTTACCGGGCCCTGAAGACTTCCATCTTCCCTGTCGATGCTGCCTCGAGAGAGCCTCACATCAGGTTTCTAAGGAAATTAAAACAAAACCAAAACAGTGTACATTTTGATTTGAAAATTACTGACAAATTCTGTTCTAAATTCCTTCTTTTTATGATACAGTTGTCCCCTGAAAGAGCTGAAAGTTCCCCAATTTCAAAACAATTCTCAAACCCAGGGATGATGAAAGCAGTCAGCTGCCTTTGGAAGAGCCCCCATTTGCTCTCCCCACACACATCTTACAGACTGGCACCTGCACCATGGCCCACTTAGTGCTGAATGGAGAACCTGCATGCCCCCTCTCCTGGGAGGAGCAGGCTTTCCTCTTCACAGAGGGAACTCCAGGCCCAGGGTAAAAACACTAGTCATTACTTTCTGCTTCCTGGCAGAGTAAGGCTTATATGGATTTGGCTGTCTTGCCAAAGCAGCAAATGGGTACGACTACAAGACTGTTTTTCTACAATGCCTCCAGAATACAGAAAAACAGAGAAATCTGGATTTTTTTCCTTTTGAGTTGAAGTATCACTCTGTTGCCCAGGCTGGGGTGCATTGGCATGCTCATGGTTACCGCAGCCTCAACCTGCTGGGTTCAGGCAATCCTTCTGCCTCAGCCTTCCAAGTAGCTGGAATTACAGGCCCATGCCACCACATCTGGCTAATTTTTTGATTTATTGTAGAGACAAGGTCTTGTCAAGCTGGTCTTGAACCCCTGGGCTCAGGCAATCCTCTCACCTCTATCTCCCAAAGTGCCGGGATCACAGGTATGAGCCACTGTGCCCCACCAGAAATCTAGATTTAAATTTCAAAAATATCAGAAGGTTACATGCCATGACAGTGAAGGTACCAGTTAGAAGGCTTTTTCCTTATGAAAACAACCATATGCCTGGCAGTACTGGGTTTTATGGAGCCCTCAGTCAGCCACACTGACCTTTTCCTGTAAATGGTCACACACTTCTGCCTGGAAAATTTCTGCTCACTCTTCAAGACTTAGCCCCAACACTCTTTCTCTGTAGCATGTTCCCCTCTTCCTCTTCAAGCAGAATCGGTCACTTCTTAGAATCCTTACAGAGATTCTCTATCTTGGCACATATCATGCAGTTATTACTTCTCTCATTAGATAAGCTCATTCCATAAATAAGCTAAAATCTGCCCTGTAATCAAAGGCAACATGCAAGTTTCACCCTTCTTATCTCCTATTTCTTGTACCTGACAAGGGCCTGGCACTTTTCCAGTTCCACAGCTGCAGCCCAAACCTCTTCACAGTACCAGCTTCCTAACGAGTTTTTCTGCCTCCATTCTTGACTATCTTTAATTAAGGTACTGCTTCTCATCTTGACTATTTTTCCATGTCTGTACTGATCAAGTTCAAAGTTTTCTTTGTGGCATTCAAGGCCGTGCACCTCTTTCCATCCATTAGAGCCCATGTGGGCACAGAGCCAGTCATGGGTGCTGGGTTGTAGTGGGAAGCTGGTGAAGGACACACCCACAGTTAAGATCATAGCGATCCTCTGATGGCTCAGATGTCAGAGGTGAACTTCTCTCCAGGACAGGGCCCCTGCAGTGTTCTTTGCCTACCTCCTCCCTTCCCCTCTCTCTTCCTCGATGTAGCACAGTGCCTATGGTGTAGTGGACCCTGTGAATGCCATGGTCTGAGAACAGGTAATACCAGGAAATGGGCAAAGGAGCTGCTGATAGCTAATCACTAAAACACAACTCTGGAAGCTGTTAATGAGCCTCAGGGTTGTCATATGAGAAAGGGTGAAACTAGTGTGTTGCCTCTGATTATAGGGAAGAGTTTAGTTCATTTATGGAAAACTGCTCTAATAATCAGAGGTACCCGGAAACAGAATAGACAGTTCTTAGAGTGGTAGCAGAGAGTAAGTAAGCAAAGAAGGCAAAAGTCATGTCTGATTGTTATCTGTCTGGGTTCAGATCAGGCTCCAGACCTTACAAGCTGTGTGACCGACACTTCAATTGCTTCATCTCTAAAATGGAACAGTAATTACAACTACCACACAGGATTATTAAGAGGATGAAATGAGTTAATATTCACAAAGTAGCCAGATGTAGTGGCTCACAACTGTAATCCCAGCTACTCAGGATGCTGAGATGAGAGAACTGTTTAAACCCAGGGTTCAAGGCTGCAGTGAGCTATGATTGTGCCACTGTACTCCAGCCTAGGTGACAGAGCAAGACCTCATTCCTTAAAAAAAAATCGGCAAAATACTAAGTCAGTGTCTTACAAATGTTAAAATAAATAGTTCTCCTGTTGTTGGACATTTGGGTCATTTTCAAATTTTCAATTGTATAAATAGACTGTGAATGAACACTTCCTTATACAAATCTTTGACTAAGTCCCTGATTATTTATTTTTCTGGACAACAGATTTCTTTTTTTTTCTTTTTTTGAGATGGGTGTTTTACTATGTTACCCAAGTTGGTCTCGAACTCCTGGGCTCAAGCCATCCTCCCTTAGATTCTCAAGTAGCTGGGATTACAGTATGCCACTGTTCCTGGCTTGAGACAGGCTTTTTTTTGTTTTTTTTGAGACAGGGTCTCACTGTAGCCCAGGCTGCTGTGCAGTGGTGTGGTGTGATCTCGGCTGACTGTAGCCTCGGTCTCCTGGACTCAAGTGATCCTCCTATCTCAGCCTCTTGAGTAGCTGGGACTGCAGGCGCATGCCACCACACTCAGCTAATTGTTTTATTTTTTGTAGAGATGAAGTCTCACTATGCTGCCCAGGCTGATCTTGAACTTCTGGGGCTCAAGTCATCCTCCTGCCTCAGTCTTCCAAAGTGCTGAGATTATTGGAGTGAGCCACCATGTCTGGCCTCGGAAAGATGCTTAAGAAAGAAATTACTGAGTCAAAGTTTTGAAAATTTGAAAAATTATTGGTATAAGTTTCCAGATTGCTCAAGACCATCCTGATTTTCACCTATGTCAGTAGTGCATGGGAGTACAAGGGTACTTCTTTCACTGTACCTAAGCACTACTGCATTGTCATTTTAAAACTCCACCAATTCATAAACAAAATACTATACATTATTGTAATTTGCCCCTCCTCCCTTTTCACAAACAGTTGAACATTTCTGCCTCTTATCACTAGACACTAAGCACTATAAAGATAGAGGCTAAGGAGCAGTATCTGCTTCATCATCGTATCTGTGACCTGGTAGAATGCTGCACAAACAGGTGGAGGGAATGAATGCCCTGAGCATTTTTTCCCATGAACTGATTGTCCAAGAAGGCAAGTGGATCTAGTTGCTCACCAGTAAAATGGGTAGAATAACACCCACCTCAGATGATCATTCCCAGAATTAAGGAAGTACCTGGCAGCACTATGCACACAGTAGATATGCAGTAAACATCTACCGAAGGAATATTTCAAGGCAGAAGAGATATTTTATAGATGAGGAACCAGGTCAGAAAGCCTTAGTTGCTTAGGACAACATAGCTCTAAAACAGTGGAGGTGGGCTCAGTCAATAGATAGTAAGAACCTTTTATGGGCAGAAAGCATTTTACTTTTTTACTTAAAAAACCAAAAAAAGCGACTCACTTATTGTTTGCTTATAGAGTAAGGTACTGTGTTTCATGCATTTGCATGAATTATCTATTTTAATTTCCCTATAAAGCTCATAAAATGACTTTTTAAATGCAGAATTCCCTAATGTGATGTTCCTAAAGACAGGATCTTAATTTTAAAACAAGAAAGACCTATCTATATAAAGTCCACTTGTGTTCTGTGAAAAAAATAAATGCTTGAGCTTTTATTCTTATATAGTAGACACAGCCTGTCTGAATGAAAGATGAGTGCCAAGTTGGGAGCTGAAGAGCAATACAGGCAAAGACAGCCAATCAGAAAGAACGAGTTCTCTTCTTATTGCTACTACTGAATAAAGTCCTTCTGAGTCCTCCCTCTAGAATATTCTAAAGACAGTATATCAAAGATAAAATGATGCAGTTTATATTTAAAATCTTATACAGACATAAAGAATGTTTGGGACAATTTGATTACATTTTCCCCACCAGGGATGCAGGACATACCACCCAGATCAAGACAGCTAACAGGCAACTGCAAACTCCAGCATACCCTCGCCCAGTTAATACCTGCCCCCAACTTGCCAAAGGGGCCACTGGTCTGACTTCCAGACCCATAGATTGCTCCTGTTTCTGAACTTCATGTAAGTGGACTGGGAAAGATGAAGTCTTCTGTGTCTGGAGTCTTTTGTGAACATTATGTTCATAAGATTCATTCCTGTGGTAGTATGGCCATAGTTTATTATTTTGTATTATTGTGCAACATTCCATTGTAAGAATTTATCCATTCTGCTGCTAATGGGGCAAGCAGATTGATTACTTCCAGTTCTTGGCTACCACAAATGAATGCTGTTATGAGCATTCTTTTTCTAAAAAAAATTTTATTTTAAAGATGTAGGGTACAATTCAGGGATGAACATTCTTTTATGTGTAGGCATATGCACTCAATCCTCTCAGGCCTAGACCAGAAGATCAATTGATGGATCAGATGCAGAAGGCATGATCCCACCAGGAGCAGATGAGAGTTGTTACTCCACAGAATGTGAAGGCCCTCTTCTGCATTCTGGGGACACAGCAATAAACAGGCCAGTTAGTCTCTACTCTCATGTTGCTATGGCTCTAGAAAAGGTCAAACTTAAGGCAGATGAAAGTCCTTTCTCTTCTGACTATACTAGATTCCTTTCAAATCTGGAATTTAGCATGAGGGGGTAACTAGGAGGGCTGTGGCCTCGCTGAGGAGCAGAGATGGGGACAGCAGTCTTTCTCTGATACACGGGCTCTCGCCATTGCTCTCTAGCTCCCCATCTCAGCATTCACCTTTTATTCAGCCTGACTGGGTCTGCTATGTGAGGGGGGAAAAAAGCTCAAATATTTCTTTTCTTTCTCAGAACACAAAGTAGGCTTTATATAGATAGGACTTTCTCACTGTAAAGTTAAAATCCTGTTTTAAGCATAGTACCATATTAGAAAATTCCTGTGCAGTAATAAAAAGA